GTTAAAACGTTAAAAAAATAAAAATCAATATTTTAGTTGTGAAATATAGAATGTCACTTTTCTGTCCCCTTTTTGTGCTCAACATGTGATATATCACCTATATAACCTGCTCACGTTGGTATATTGTATACAATATAAGGAAATTTTAGCATTTGGTAGAAAAACATAAAAATTAATATTTTCAGTTCTGTTTCCATGACAACTATTTTATAAGCATGGATGGCACCAGTACATGTATGTTACCAATTTCTAAACTTTCAGCCAATTTGAAGTTCAACTTTTAAAGTTATAGATAAAATCATTTTCTCAATTTCTGACAACAGATTCTATGATGTCATACTTTACCCATAATCCTTTGCTTGAAAATCAAGATGGCTGACTACGTATTACTGATGAAAAGTGGAATAACTAGAGAATGAAAAGTGATATTAAAAAAGTGTAAATTGCATTCTCTTACATTTGTGGAGCTTTTTCTTTAGAGGTCATCATGTTGTTTGGATTGAGGTTCCCTTTAATAAAAGTGTGTCAGTAATTTTATTCAGTGGTTATATTTCACAGGCATATTATTTTGAATCGTCTAACCGATTAGAACAGCCACCTCGTAAAATAGCACTGCCAAAGATAGCGGTTGGCCGAAATGCAAAAAGTGCCAAAAGGTTATGGAAAGACCATGAACACGTGAAAATTACGAACGCCATCGATAAGGTATACAATATCATCTTCCATCGATAACACACCTTCTATGCAAATGGTCGCCGATATCTCGTTAAGAGGGGGAGCGTCACAAGACTTGTTTTTGCCGCCATTTCCTGTGTAACAATGCTGATCTATGTAACAATGATTGTTGGAACAGTGGTCACGATGATAAGAGGCAAAAACAAATCTCGTGGTTCTCTCGCTCCCAACGAGATTTCGGCGGCCATTTTGCGATATCTCGAGAAACAAATGGTCGTTCCATAAATCCATTTGTCATTTGTTTACTTCTTGTTTTTCTTATTATATGTCTTTTAGATAAAGTACCAAGAAGACGACGGACCGGAACTCTACGTACCGAAATTCCCGAGACCTTTTCGAACAAATCCCGTGCGGATGATACCGATGTATAAAGTTCTGCATGCGCCCTCACAGTTTGGAACACCCAGACACAACGTGAAGGAGCTATATGCTACTGCTACTTATCTTACGAACGCAGTTAAAAATGTGGATGGAAACACCAGTTACAAGGTACAGTCAACATCTGATTGGGTCATTGCGTTGTATTCATGGTGTTTACGCTATACATTTACTGTATATAGTATTACAAAGAAACTGATATTTAATTTATACCAGTACATTATAAATGTCTAATTTTTTAACTATTTGTCCAATTTCAGAGTCTGAAAGCGATGCACAAAATCCAGAAGGAGGCATTAACTCCACGACCACAGACCGAACGCATAGAAGTAGGGCAACGACTGATATGGCAGTCAGCAGACTCGGTAACCCCGTCATACACGCCAAGAAGACTAGAACCGCTGATCACGAGTAGAAAATCGACAGGAGAACACACCGTACGAGCGTCGAAAGGAAAATATACGAATAGCCCAAGGGAGTCTGAGAACACATGTGAAGGTACGGCAGAACACCACAGCGTAAATTTAATTTGTAGAAGCAGAATCACTCGGCATATATATATGGATGTTCAAATTAAAAAAAAATCTATGTGAAAACTGGTGTACGGTTTATCTCCAATTAATCGACCGAAATTTCTATTATAAGTTTAATCAAGTTTGAGTAAAAATCATGATGCTAGTAGAGTACTGCAAAACATATTGAAATTAATATATTCATGTTTGTTTTTATTTCAGTGAGTATTCATGTACCACCGACAAGGAGACAGAAGTCATTTTTAGAGATATATGGAAAGGGAAGGTTTCCTAGCGTAGACTACGAGAAGATCCTTCTAACTAAAGAAAACTTATCTCATCTGGAGCATGAAACCGAGGGGCAAGATGAGGAAGTTATGAACCATAGTGCGCGTATTCCGATTGGTGAATTCGCCACAGAGACGGAAATTGAAGGGAGCCCGCACACTGAAAATAATGAAGTAATGATATCGGTGGACGACGAGAGCAACAAAGAAAGTCGTGAAGCTATCACAAATGAAGCCAGTGGTAACGAAATACCGAGAATTGAGAAAAGTTCAACAAATAAAAAAAATGAGCTGGTCATGGAACAAGAGAATCGGCCGGACTTGCCCAAACACGACGAAGAAACAACCCAATCCGTCGATAAAGAGAAAGAACGAACTATAGTAAAACGGGACGATGGCGACGATAACTGTAAAGAAGAAGAAAATGATATCGGAGAAAATCCCCATAACAACCAGACAGAAGAGGGTCCACCAACCGAAGTCGTAGAAACAAAAGAAAATATGCGAGCTGCGATAAATGAAGTTGCTGAACTTGAACAACAAGCTGAGCCCGTCGTAGATGAAAGTTTCCGGGAGACAAATAAAGTAACTGAGTCGAATGAAAAATCTGTGTCATGCGACAATAATGACAATCATGGCGCGGAACGGAAACTAATTAGTAGTCCTGGCGAAACGAACAGGGTAACGAAATGCGACATCGAAGCCGTAACGACAATCGGACAATCTCTGCCAGTGTCGGACAATCAAATGGGAAATCTCATTCAAGAGAGTGTCTCCATCGACAGTGGATTTGAAGAAAAACCAAAATCTAATCACGAATCTCGAAACGTCGATTTATCCACTGAAAATGCAAATATAGATAATATTGGAGACAAGATCGAAAATAAACCGAAAAATAATCAGAGCGAAAACAACCTTGTTGTTGCACAAGACAGTGAAGTCGAATCTGATGACACACGCCCCATATCGGCGAGCAAAGTACAACAACCAAAGGAACTGAACTCTCTGAAAGACGAGGAAAATGACGATATCGACGAATCGAATAGCACACAGCCCCAGTAAACTGTATATCCTGCGAATTAATATATTGTTTTCCTTAAAGCAACTAATCAAATAATAACAATAACACAATTTTTGAAGACCGCATACAAAACTGCGGTATTTAATCATTCCGCCCGATCGCTGTGACGAAACATTAGCATAAGTGTGTGGTGGAATTTGATTGGATTTTAGTCAGAACTAGCGCATGCGCAGCGAACAGTAATAAAGCACATTAACATATAACCACACGCGTTCCCCAGACGTTTGCAACCATGTTTGTTCTTATCAGCTGACTCATTGAGTGTGTGCATATTGTGTTGTTCGATATTTGTTGGATATTCCGAATGTGAATTGCATGTGCCTCCGAATACAATAAAGTATATTTCACAAAAATATAATGTATATGTGTTATAACTTCATTTATTGTCAGATCAACGCAGAGCTGACCATGATGCACTGCGCTTGAAGGTGTAATGGACACCCAGTTCCTAATTATAGATCATAATGATATGATCCTAAAGACGCGAAGATGGCAAAACGCCACATCCATCGTGCGCGCTTTCAATTTCATGTTATTTTTTTTTCTCTAACACGAGATGATTACGTAATGTGGGACCCCTACCTTATAGAACACGACGCATCGTGACAGTACATACACTCATTTACAACAAGATAAATAACATAGACTGAAATTTCACTAGAAAAGGAAAGTATTAAGACTATATTTCCATACCAGTCCGTGTCTAATTTCAGCTTCAAAAAATAGTATCGTACACCAAGGGACGCACTCGATTTGCACGATTATGATTAGTTTGGACGTCTTCACTGAAATCGAGGCTGTAAACAAAGCCTGTTATAATAACTGCGCAACCGTTTGTACACATTTACATAATTGCAATCCATTCATTGTCCGAAGGGCCACCAATCACAGGCTATGACGCCCTCAGCGACGTTTATTGGAGCACTTGGCATCACTTCTTTGAGCTTCATCTTTCTCTCACTGATTTGACCATCATGGCAGGTATTGTTTTGCGAGTTTGTTTTTGTCATCTGTCAGTTCTGATACCAGGTGTAATATGCGTACTATTATATTATATGTACCATGTAATAATTCTTCACTAGCTTCTCTAGGTTCTATTCTCTAACGACGTTGAATACTAGTGCGCAACGTACTTGCAAAATGATCTAACCAGAAACCCCAGCTTCCCCCGGCTGTTTCTTCGCGTCGCTACGGAAAATAAACTTCAGTACATTTGCTATACGAATTGTCTGCTCCGAAATTATTCGTGGCCCGTTGATTAGTCACCTTTGTAATGTTAAATTATACATTCGCATCATTCAATCGGCGCCATTGTCACTCGAGTCTAACAAATCTTGTCTGCATAAAATCGATTCCGTTTACTATTTCGCTTGACTATACCACATAATGAATGGCAAGTTTAACATTGGCAGAGTGGGAAGTTCGTTTTATCTGTATCATTTCGTCGTTTGGTGGAAGTTCGTGGCCGGGTCAGCGTCTTCAGTGCATCTCGCTCAAGTCAGAATACCTGCATTGGTTGACGAATATGTCAAGATATCAAGCCATTCGAGAAAGTTTGCATCATTTTCTCAAAACATTTAAGGTTGTCTCTCTTGGCGATAAAATCTCGTTTCTGTTTCTGGAAAGTCATTTGAATCGTGTTCGTTTGGGTTCAATTTGAATACATGTATGCGTGATTTTAGGGGTTGACCAGATACACGCAAGTGTGCAAACGTGTGCAACAGGAGATATACTGATAATCTTCCCGGGAGTTCGTCCCGACAAAGGAGTAATTTGTCAGAAGTTGCAATTTCAGAGTATGCATTTCTGCTGCGATCGCATCAGAATTACAATCAAACGTTTTATCAGTTTTCTTTGATGTTATATAGCACCGCACACCAAATCCATTCGTTTTCCGGTGAGAACACATCCCATCGCCGATAAAGGAGCCAGAGAATGATATTATAGTCAAACAACGGAAGAACTCCGGTTTCAAGGTGTTTTATCTGTATTAACAGCGAAATGTAACATCGATAAATACAACAGTTGCAAACGCATAAATGATTCTGTGGCGTTGGAATAACCCGCCAGTTGACACATATGAGCATGTAATTTATTAAATATTCAAGTGATCTTTGGTATTGACACATGACGTCTTTACATGATTGGGTGTTTTTCAAAGGACTAGATTAGCAAATTTATAGTAGGCAGAACAGGAATCGTATTACTTACTGGTGTCTATTTTCTGTAGCGAAACGAAGAAACAGGCGGAGGAAGCTGGGGTACAGTGCCAGGATACCACATCTAAAAGTCTCATCTTTGGCTCATATTATTCAATGATACCATGTGTTCTAACACTTCGCTTGATTGGTGAAAATGTAAGGCACGATACAACATATCTGTGACTCATATTATTCAAGAACTGCACGTGTTCTAATGTTTGTTCTGATTGGTTACAATGACAGGCACGTGATAAATGAATTCGCGATAAAACACAGAACAAACGAACGCAAAGCACGTGACCGCGCGACATCTGCTGTTACGTAATGAATGACTGAACTAATGTCAGCAATGAAAAATAGTTTGGGTCCAGCACAATACACTCGACACAATAAAACAGTGGTAGAAGTATTCCCCATATGAATACACATATAGTGGTTAAAATCTTTACACATATGCACATATAGGATTTACAACCATAATTTGCACATTTACAGGTTTACCAGTAGTGTTTTACAATCTCCATATGAATACACCTGTAGTGTTTTACAATCTCCATATGAATACACCTGTAGTGTTTTACAATCTCCATATGCATATACCTGTAGTGTTTTACAATCTTCATATGAATACACCTGTAGGGTTTTACAATCTCCATATGCATACACCTGTAGTGTTTTACAATCTCCATATGAATACACCTCTAGTGTTTTACAATCTCCATATGCATACACCTGTAGTGTTTTACAATCTCCATATGCATACACCTGTAGTGTTTTACAATCTCCATATGAATACACCTGTAGTGATTTACAATCTCCACATGCATACACCTGTAGTGTTTTACAATCTCCACATGAATACACCTGTTGTGTTTTACAATCTCCATATGCATACACCTGTAGTGTTTTACAATCTCCATATGCATACACCTGTAGTGTTTTATAATCTCCCTATGCATACACCTGTAGTGGTTTACAATCTCCATATGCATACACCTGTAGTGTTTTATAATCTCCATATAAATACACCTGTAGTGATTTACAATCTCCATATGAATATACACCTGTAGTGTTTTACAATCTCCATATGAATACACCTGTAGTGCATTACAATCTCCATATGCATACACCTGTAGTGTTTTACAATCTCCATATGAATACACCTGCAGTGATTTACAATCTCCATATGCATACACCTGTAGTGTTTTACAATCTCCATGTGAATACACCTGTAGTGATTTACAATCTCCATATGCATATACCTGTAGTGATTTACAATCTTCATATGAATACACCTGTAGTGTTTTACAATCTCCAGATGAATACACCTGTAGTGTTTTGCAATCTCCATATGAATACACCTGTAGTGGTTTACAATCTCCATATGAATACACCTGTAGTGTTTACAATCTCCATATGAATACACCTGTAGTGTTTACAATCTCCATATGAATACACCTGTAGTGGTCTACAATCTCCATAGGAATATACTTGTAGTGCTTTAAATCTCCATATGAATATATAGTATTTTTCAATCTCCAAATTAATACACCTGTAGTGTTTTACAATCTTCATATGAATACACCTGTTAGTGTTTTACAATCTCCATATGATTACACATGTCGTGCTGTATAATCTTCACATGAATACACCTGTAGTGTGTCACAATCTTCATATGAATACACCTGTAGTGTTTTACAATCTTCATATGAATACACCTGTTAGTGTTTTACAATCTCCATATGATTACACATGTCGTGCTGTATAATCTTCATATGAATACACCTGTAGTGTGTTACAATCTTCATATGAATACACCTGTAGTGTTTTACAATCTTCATATGAATACACCTGTAGTGTTTAACAATCTCCATATGATTACACATGTAGAGCTTTACAATCTTCATATGATTACACATGTCGTGCTGTATAATCTTCATATGAATACACCTGTAGTGTGTTACAATGA